CTTGTTTTTGGCATTAAAATATTGACTACTTTTAATATGCTCTTTGAACTCTTCTTAAATAATCACACTTGAAAGTTACTGAATGAATCACCAATAAAGTTGGTGACATCTCACTGAGTCAATCATTCATAGATCAGATAAATTTTTAAATTTTATTTATTTTATTTTATTTTATTTTATTATTTTATTTTATTTTATTTTATTTTTAAGGATAGTGGAGAAATGATATGCAGCTGATTAATTCAACTAAAGAAAGCAGCACCTTGCTAGGGTGTTGAAGAACTGTATACTGTAACATTGTGCGTATAAGCACAGGCAACTAATTTTAAAAATAAGAGCTTCCTCATTAATCTTAAGTTGTCTGTCCTGTTTTCCATGTGACTACAGACCCTCTTTCATCCTTGTTTTCTTCAGGATACTTGTCCTTACTATCTTCTTCTGGACTTGTTCTTTGGATGCCCTTTTTGTATTTTTTTTTTTTCTCTCACATTGTCATGAGTTTACTATGTCTTCCAGAGTTTACATGGGCCCTCTCATGACAGTGCTTCATGAGTTTTCCATTTTTCTCTCCCGAGTTATTACTTTTTCCCATTATCTCAATCTCTGCCTTGCTGATTTCCTGTCCTCACATGTCTTTGCTGCTATTGGGCTCTTTATAAATAAATAAATAAATAGGGCAGTTTTATGCAAAAAAGTAGTGTAGTGGTTTTGTCTAGGACATAGTTAACGTTTCTCATAGTAGCTGGTATGATGTTTAGGGTTTAGGATGAGACTAATGTTGATGTTTAAATTGTTGCACAGTAGTGCTTACGCTAAGTTAAGGACTTCTCAGCTTCTCATACTACCCTGCCAGCGAGGGGTCTGAGGGTGTGAGTTTGTTGGAGAACCAGGTCAGCTGACCCAAACTGTCCAAAGAGATATTCCATACCATGTGGTGTCATGAACAGTTACACGGGGTGGCTGGCTGGAGCTGGGGAGGACCACTGCTTGGGGATGGGATAGACATTGGTCAACAGGTGGTGAGCAGTGGCCTGTGAATTTTTTTAGGGAATTGAAAGTTTTATTCATATTGGTGTCATTTTAAGTGAAAAAAAAAATATTATTGCTGTATTAATGCTGTGTTCATAGAATCACATAATCATAGAATGGTTTGGGCTGGAAGGGTCCTTAAAGATCATCTTGTTCCAACCTCCCTGCCATTGCTCAAAGCCACATCCAACCCGGCCTTGAACACGTCCAGGGGTGGGGCATCCACTGCTTCTCTGGGCAACCTGTTCCACTGCCTCACCACTCTCATAGTAAAGAATTTCTTCCTATCATCTAATCTAAACCTACCCTTTTCAGTCTAAAAACATAACTCATTGTCTTATCACTACACTTCATGAGGTCTGCACAGGCCCCCTTCTGAAGCCTGTAAAAGCCCCTCTGGATGGTATCCCTTCCCTCCAGCATGTCAACAGCACCACACAGCTATTGGCAAACTAGCTGAGGGTGCACTCAATCCACTGTCCATGTCACTGACAAAGAGTGCTGTTCCCAATACTGACACCTGAGAAACACCACTTAGTATTGATCTCCACTTAGATATTGAGCTGTTGACATCAACTTTTTGAGTGCGAGTATCCAGCCAATTCCTTACACACTGTGTGGTCCATCCATCAAATCCATGTCTCTCCAATTTAGAAACAAGGATATCATGTGGGACAGTGTCAAATGCTTTGCAAAAGTCCAGATAGATGATATCAGTAAATGTCAGTAAATGATATTCATCATTTGATTATGTATTTTTTTTCTTCCAAGTGTATATGAATATGAAAGAAATGTGCAAATGCAACAGTTGGAAAATTATTACATGATGGATGGTGACATTTACTGTAGAAGGACAGGAGTCATCTAATTCTCTTGCATTTGATGACTTCAGCACTGCTACCAGGGCTGCACACCAGCAAGGTGCTGAGCACCTTCTGCAAAATGTTCAATACCAGTAGTCTCTAGAATATGTGCATATGTGTTTGTGTATGACATGACATGTTTATATGTTGTGGTGGTATTCATTACCCTTGAAAGATATTTACTTCCAAGACCTTGCTGCAGGTGAGATTGGTTTTCATGGAGCCTAAGCTCCAATGAAAACATTGACTTTTATTACTTGTCAGTTTTCTGACAAACCTCTAGAAAGTTTTGAAAGTGTAATCTATATGCTTTGTACATTAAGTGAGGCAAATAGCCCGTTAAGCTTCATTTACAAATTCTGCTCAAATCCTCATAAATTGCACATACATTTCGTGTCTGTGATACCTTTTGAAAATGAAGTGGTTTCATTATCCTGTCATAGAAGAGGCCATATCTTGTTATATTATTTTTTTTTTCTTTCTATTTTTCTGTCTCTCAATATAAAAAACTTTTTCTAGTTTAAAAGGGAAAAAAAAAGTTATAGAAGAAATAGAAGTTATCTATTTCCAAATAAAACATTGAAAAGTTTCTGATTAAAAAGGATATAAATAATTGTTTTGATTAAATAATCCAAACAGCTTCTGTACAATGACATCATCAAGCCTAACTGATAGATTTTATAAAAAGTGAATGTTTATAAAAATGTTCAGGTCAAGAAATTAACAGAACTAACGAACAATCTGTTTACTTAACTCAAAATCAGTATATACTGAAGCCTTCCTATTTTGGAATACTGACCCACTTTACTGAAAAGAAAGCCTCACTTGTATTCATCTCTAACAAGGCCTTTAAATCTTGGTCTAGCGCATGTTGTCATAGTTAAATGGACCAAAACAAGCTGAGAACTGTTGTTCACTGTATTCAATTAAATGATCAGAGGAAAGTAGGACACAGGAATTAGTAATGAAGAAAAATACTATCCAGTATTCATCCAAAGTTTAATTTAAATGTGCTTCTCTGTCACCACTTTTCTCCTCTTAAAGATTTCCAAATTGCTTTAGAGTTTACTTGCACTATTTTTCTCACTGCCTTATCATGTTACTAATTTACATTTCACATTGTTGCATATTTTTATGATGGGATTTTTCTGAATCCTTTGATTTATATGAAATGAGTGCCCTATTTACAGAACTATGAGTTTGATGACTCATGTACTAGTATGATGAAGGTAATATGTCCCTGATCAAGTCATAGAGTAATAATCAGGTCTAGATAAAGGATCAAGTCCTTACAGGCAAGGATTCTATAACCTCTGTAATAATAATATTATCTCTATAATAATATTAGATATTATTACTCTTTGATCAGAAAAAGCTTCACCTTTCTGATCAAAAAGTATAATAAGTATAAGAGTATAATTTCTGATCAAATACAGGATATAATGATCAAAAATAAGTTATTATCTAAAAAAAAAAAAGAATAAGAAATGTAAATATTTTGTTCATGTAACTTGACATTTCTCATAAATATGCCAGTCTGAAGGATGTGAAAGCACACATGAAAAATCTTGATTTGATTGTCACTTTATACATATTTTGGGTATTGGGTGAAATTTTGAATTATTAAGTAGTATATAGGATACTTCACCAAGTTAAACATTAAGTTTAATGATTAAAACTTATCTTGTTTGTAAATTAATGAGATTATTTGACATCACTGTTGACATCCCTAAATGCAGTCTGTTTTTAAAGCCTCTTGGAGTAGTGTGCATAATGTGTACAGTATTAAAATGGAAATGGATGTAAACATGCATGTTATTAGGGATGATGTGGGTATGTTTCAGGTGTAAACACATGGGCAATGAAAATATTTAACAAAAGAAAAAAAAGTTCTCTCAGGTTCTCAGGCTGATATGAACAGGAAGAAGGCTAAGATTATCCAGTTTCAGCAATGATAAAATTCATTCACCTTTCATCTTTTTTTTTTTTTTTTTTTTTTTTTGTTCCCACCAGAAATAAGCATAGGCTGTAAAATCAGCTTTTTATCTAAAAGCTGATTTTATCTAAAAATTTTTATCTAAATCAGCTTTTCCTATAAAAACAGTAGAAAGTCCTCAAGAGATAATGCTCTTGAAACTGTAGAGTACAGTAAGTAAAAGAAAAATGTCAATTAAAACCAAAGCTGTCTTCCTAATGCTTGATTCTAGGAAAAAACAAACAAACAAACAAACAAACAAACAAGAAACACTACGTGGATGCAAGGATGATTTGTAGAACAGTAACTATATTTAAACAAAAAAAAATGTCTTTTTCAGTACTGTCTACATAATTATTTTGTGTTGCTTACTATTTTTGTTCTCCCTTACAATGTCCTTAAATTTCAATTTCCTGTTCTCCTCTTTCCTGATGTTGTTCTCTCTGCTCCATTCCACTCTAAGGGATAACCAAATGGTACCGAAATTAGTGGTAAGACTACCTTTGACTTGAAAAATTGCCTATATTACTGTACATGATTTCTTTTTGCTGTGCCGTTTCGTATGCTCACCTCTAAAGTCAACATTACAACTCCAAGCAAACACATGTACATTTTTTTTGCTAGTTAAGACTCTTTTTTTTTTTATAAAATTTTATATAAATCATTTTGATATAAAATTCATCTTTCCCTCTAACCGAGTGAGTTTACCTCTAAGAACAGTCTCATAATTCTCATAGTCTATTAATTCATCAGGGAAAAAAGGAAAAGAATAAAATGTATGTGAGCTTTGGGAAAAAAAAAAAAAAAAAAAAAAAAGTTTTATTTACTGTCCTGGTTTCAGTTAGAACAGAATTAATTTTCTTCCTAGTAGCTGGTGGAATGCTGTGTTTTGGCTTAGGATGAGAGGAGTGCTGATAACATCCCGATGCTTTAATTGTTGCAGAGCAGTGCTTATACTAAGCCAAGGACAGAGCCTTTCGCTCTGTCCTGCCAATGGGCAGGCTGGGGGTACAGTAAGAGCTGGGAGGGGACTGACCCAGGACAGGTGACCCAAACTAGCCAAAGGGGTATTCCATACCATCTGACGTCATGCTAAACAATATATAGGGGTGGCTAGCCGGGGGGAGGGGGCCGGACTGCTCGGGGTTAGGCTGGGCATCGGTCAGCGAGTGGTGAGCAATTGCATTGTGCATCACTTGTTTGTACATATTATTATTACTTTCCTATTATCACCATTGTATTATTATTATTATTATTGTTATTATTATTTTTGTTATTATTATTTTCCTGTCTTATTAAACTGTCTTTATCTCAACTCACGGGCTTCACTTTCCATTTCTCTCCCCCGTCCCAGAGAGGGAGGGGGGAGGGTGAGCGAACGGCTGCGTGGTGTTTAGCTGCCGGCCGGGTTAAACCACGACATTTACTTTTACAGTTTTATAACTGTTTATCAAGGAACAGATGTGGAAGTCAGGAAAAAGAAATATAGAAAATCAGTCAAAAATCAGTCAAAAGAAAGCTTGTCTTATGCAGAGTGGAAAACTAGAAAGGATGCATTTGATATTTTTGAAGTACAAAAGGGTGATTGCCATGAATTATTATTTAATAATTCTAAGCAAATGAATAATTGTCAGCAATTCCATGTTTTCAAAGCAGAAACTTAATGGTGTACCTTCTTTTTGAAATAACAATATAAAATTATGATGCATCTGAGATTGGACAAAATTATTAAATAATATGGTAGATGTCCACATTGGACATTGGACCCACTGATATAAATCAGTGATGTCAGGTAGAATTACAATGTTTGCGTGAAATTTGAAGGCACTGGAAAGGACAGAAAGGGAAAGGCCAATTATCTTGGCAGTCTGACATCAATTCCATGTAGAAAAGTAAATCAACAACAACAGAACTGGTTTTAGAATCTCTTAACAATTTAAATGATAAAAATTCAATTATTTCCAGGCACTTAGTACAATGGTAAATAAGTCTCTTCCAACTGGATTTCCTGATTTTACTTTAAAAGTTTGGGTATCAGACGTTAGCTTGTTAACAAGTTAACTTGTTAAGATATATGACTTCCCACACTATAATGCAACAATTAAACCCAAAAGAAATTAACACACACACAAAAAAGTGTATCTCCAGAATTTGTTTGCTTAGTCTTGTACGTTGCAGAAGGTAGCCAATTGGTGTATCCAAGAAAGAACATGATAATGTGGAACTCTGAGTAGAAACATATTTTGCAGTGGTATCAAAAGTGCTTGCTTGTTACAAATTTAGGTGATCTCTTAAAATGATGACTTGTTTCTCATTTACTATTTCAATTAACTTAATTGGTCATAAAAGATTATTACTAAGGGAAAATAAACAGGGAAAAATCACTACAAAGTATGGCAAAAGTTCCCCCCTTCCCCCTTCCTCCCATTCTTTCTTTCATAACAACTGCCGAATCCACGTTTGTCTCTAGAAAGGTGTTGGGGCAGGAAGTAAAACACTTCAGTCAGCTGTCTCAGCTATCCAAAAACTGATGGAAGAGCTTACCTGTATTTTAAGATGTAAACATCAACTGCCACAGAACCTAAAAAGTTTTTTTGTTCTTTGATTTAATCTTCTGCTATTGTGACTTTTCTCTTGCTAGGCAGGATATATGAGTGAACAGGTGTGGGTCATCCCAGTATCTGCAAGACAAGAACCTAAGTGTCACTACAAATTCAGTAGCTCTTTCTGGGTTAAAATAGTGCTTTTTAAAACATTGGTATCACATAAAATTAATAGCCACACTTAGGTTAAGTGTGCTATCTCTATTCCTCTGTGAATGGAAGGAAAATAAAGAACTACTCTAAAATTGGAAGGGCAGCCTATACTTTTACAAAATAAAGAAGATGTAATTATTTCTGCCTTGAGCAAATAAGGATGGTGTAAACACAAAATAAGAAGTGACACTGGCAATCTGTAGATAATTTTTGCTCTTCATTACCTAAACCAGTGGGTTTCATTAGTTATAACGTTGGGATATAACAAAAAATGATACAGGCTACTCTACATTTTCTAAGTTGAGGCCACAAAGTAATAATATCTTTTAGTGTCATAACTTGTTTTGATTACCTGTTTCAGTACTTTGGGTGATGAGATAATTTGAAACTATTGATTTAATATTAATTGCAACCTTAATTTAATCTGCACAATTTCTTTCTTAGCTTAATTGCATTTTTATTTAAGTGTATATTTGCTCCTTTCCACTATTAAATAAAATTTGTTGCAGTTATCTTATACAGTCCAGCCTGATATAGTCCAGAGACTGTTTTATGAATTTTATCAGAAACAATCATTAGATAAAATACTTAAATACTACATCTTAATCAGTAGTAATAAATCAAACAATGGCACCACTGGAATCTATCATCATAAGATACTCATAGACAAGCTCTTGATGTATGGGAGACAGTGAGGTGAATTGAAAACTTGCTGAACAGGCAAGCCCAGAGGGTGGTGATCATTGGTGCAAAGTGAAGTTGGAAGCTAGTGGTGTACCCCAGGGGTCAGTACTGGGTCCAGTACTGGGTCCATCCACAGCATGCGTGTGCTGGATGATGGGGTGGAGCTTACTCTCAGCAAGTTTTCTTGGTGGCACAAATGGTGAGGAGTGGTGGATACACCAGAAGGTTGTGGGAGGGACCAGAGGGACCTGGACAGACTGGAGAAATGGTCTTTAGACCTCATGAAGTTCATCAGGAGAAGTGCAAAGTCCTGCACTGGTGGAGGAAAAAGCCCAGGCACTGGTCCATGCTGATGGCCACCCAGCTGGAGAGCAGCTGTGCAGAAAAGGAGCCCTGGCTTAGTAATATGAATGTAGCGCATGCCTTGTCATTTTGTCTCAGAGTCAAGAAATTGAAGGTGTGTTTAATTTAGTGTACATAAGGAGAGTAGAGCTGGGTCTGGAACCAGACTCTCCTTTCCCACTCCCATGTGAGCACCTTAATCACTAGCTTGAAGATACACAATTACTCCTGCTCTCCCTGTGTTCTAATGAATCTTCACTTTCTCATTTAATAAATGCATGCAGAAACATAACACAGTGCTACAGCACAGCTTTAACTGGAGGAAGGAGGATGCCTATTCAGTTAAGAACATAGCCCTGCAAAAGCTAAGATTAAATAACTCTGCACAGGAATAGCTCTTTTACATTGGCAGAGGAAGGACAGATTTCTTCCTAAGCCATCCAGGTAAATGATCTAAGCACTTGACTGCAAAACAATGAACAGGATTAGCATAGGATTAGCATGGCCAGGTCCTTCTTTTTTTTTTTTTTTTTTTTCCTCCTCTTTTCAGAAAACATACAATAGCTCTTCCTTTCCAAAGCTAAAGTCCTTGAAATAAAAAATTCACTTGACTTTACAAAGAAAAGTGATAATCAAAGTTGTGGGCGGAGTAAGTTTAAGATATACTCCTATCCTTAGTTGCCTTATCTAGCTGTGTTTCCTACTCAGCTTGCTGGCTGTTGTACTTCATTCTCTGAAGCTTAACTTTTGTCTAACAGTGTATAGGGAGCTTGTATACTTCATTTAATTTTAGAGATTTTACTTAGCTTCCTGGGTTAACAAAGGGTTAGCATTGCAGTTCAGTATTTACAGATGCTAAAACCTTTTTGGATCCACTCCAGCCTCCTTCATGCTGCCAAGTGGGTTAGTGAAAGAAATGTGAGGAATGGATAAGTGAAAGAAATTGGTCTGCTTGCAACTGAAAGATAATTGGGGGAACAGTAAGAAGAATGCCATCATAGGGGAGCATTATGCTCTTCATCAGATGTATGTGATGTGAAACATACATGTACAGTCCACAAGCTTTGAACAATAGTTAAGCAATTTTTTTGGCCAGCCTGACTCTTCTTACTTCAAAAATCATCAATAAACTGAAAACCAACCACAGGGCCAGGAGAACAGTGGTCATTCTATTTTGGTTATTCAGCTATCAGTCTATGATGGGGTAAGCTGGTACTCACTGGTTAGGCAACTGAGAGACAGCAGAGATTCACAATTACTAATGCTGCATTTGGCAATCTCAAGAAAGACTTTAGGTATATATAATTCTCCTTAAGCAAGCAAAAGAGGTTGAGTAAAGGGCATGGAGGAAATATTTTTGGAATCAGAAATATTTTAATGGCAGTGGGGGGTGGGGGTTAAAGACTGTGTTGAACTGAAAAAAATACTACACCAGAAAGAAGAGAAAGAAGGTGTGTAAGGAAGGAAAAATAATTCTGTAAGGGAAGACTCATGATAAAAAGAGGTGGTCAGGCTTTCAGGGCAACCAATGAAAAGCCTCCTTTCCAGCTTAAGATTACTATGCAGCACAAGCAATCCTATCCATACTACAAATGCTTATAAGGCAAGAGCTGACAGTTATATGGGAGCTAGATACAGGTAACTGGAGAGATGAGTGCTCAAGAGAAGGTTAGACTAAGTGCCCTCAGCTGTCAAAGTAAAATTTATAGTGAAAGCACTGGGGAGGCAGAGGACATAAAAGTGTCAAAATGGGGGTTTAGTGATGGAGGTAAATGGTATACAGCTTAATTATTTGGACTGTGAATCCCTGTACTACATATTAAAAGGTAGGCAAAAAGGATACTTACAGACAAATCCAGGCTGTTCAGTTTGTGACCACATATCACTGTCAACAAAGTTTTACTTCAGCTGTAAAAGCAGTCATATTAAGATTCTTTTTGCACCCAGAGATTCAGACTTTGTGTAAAGCCTCTACACTTTATTCTTAGCCCAGCAATATGGCAATACAAAGAAAGGATAAGACATATAGGCCTCAGTATTTTTATGCTGAAATATAGCTAAATAAAATTGATAATCAATATTTCCATTTAAAATTACCTTTTATGCTTCAAAAATGTTTTACAATTAATTGGCTATACATAAATTGTGTTTTAAAACTATTCCATACGTTATGAGATATATGGAAGAAAACTGACTTTATCTCAATGCCTTCAGTCAGTTACATGTGAGAGAACGTCTTCACAGTGAGGGTGATGGAACACTGCAACAGGCTGCCCAGGGAGGTTGTGGAGTCTCCTTCTCTGGAGATATTCAAGGCCTGTCTGGATGCCTACCTGGGCAGCCTGCTCTGAGGAACCTGCTTTGTCAGGGGGGTTGGACATGATGATCTCTCGAGGTCTCTTCCAACCCCTACAATTCTGTGATTCTGTGAAAGTTGACTAAGGAGAAAAAAGATTGAAGTCTAGACAATGAAAATAGCAAGAGATTTGAAAGATTTAATAAGAATAGCATGGTCACACTGAGTTCTTTGAGAGTTTAATTTCAGTCTGTGTATGTCACTAAGATGATGACTCAGTGAAAAAAGCATTCTGATTCTATGCCTATTTTGCTTAATTGTTATATCATTAGAATGCAGAGAGACCAAGAACATAGCTGTATGTGCTTATCTGTAGAAGGAAGAAAAATCAGAACTATGGGATTATATTCATTTATGCTCTGTAAATCCTGCCTAGTTGTGGAAGGAAAAACTCCTGTAACTTCCCTGTTACACATCTCACACCATAAGAAATGATAGCCATAAAGCCTCTACTCAGACTTTAAGCCCATTTCTTTAGTGGATTAAGTGTCACATAAAAATGCTTCTGAGTACATAAGAATAGATAATAGGGCAGATGCTGTATCAGACGTATTTTTGGGAAAACTCTTCAGCAAGAGAGGAAAAAGAATTTACATCATCATTACATCATCTTCTCTTGAGGTTTCTGTCTCATAAAGCAGGTAACTCCTTGAAGAAGCTGACTAGAAGATCTGTTTTTCACCTTACCCAATCTAGCATCTTTTAAGCAAACTCAAGGTCTATGTGCATGCATGTTATTTGTTCTCTTTTTCTTTTCCTATTGCTGTTGAAAAATTATTTATTTTATTTTATTTTATTTTATTTTATTTTATTTTATTTTATTTTATTTTATTTTATTTTATTTTATTTTATTATTTTTATTTTATTTTATTTATTATATTTCTTTTCTGAAATGATTATCTTAAGACACAGTGATGTTCATATGAATAAACTGGTTATTCCAGACAAGGCCAAAGATCAAAGGCAAAGCTTAAAACCTGAAACAGTATCATACTTACTACAGATTGCTTTCTGTAAGTTTTCAGCTTCGAGATGTACAAGGGACTTCTGTGACTGCTGTTTTTCGGTAGTTTCTTACAGTAGTGAAAACAGTTTTCCCATTCTGTGAGACCAAGAAAGCTCTGGGATTCTTTTTCTTGCAGAGCAGAGTATGGCATAATGGCAACTATGGGGCACACACAGTGATTATTGTATACAAATAAAGTCATGTTTTGATACACATCTCTTCTGTTGATCCAAAGTAGGAAAAATGACAATTTGAATAGTGAGTGTTATGGTATAGAGAGCTGGCATACAAGAAAGAGTAAAATGGTTTAAAAATGTAATTCTGTCCTGTCTTGTCTAGAAGGTTTCAGAGAACTGTGATAGAAGGAAGGAGATTTTCATTAGATATCCTCATTAGGAAAACTCAATGGCACATTTTCATCCTTTGCAGAAGACGCTATAGGAGAGCTGCCATTGCCAAGTGTATGTTCACACTGATTTAGATGGGAAGTCTTTAGATGCCATCAGTACCCTGGCAAAGCTTTCTGGTGTTTCTGGAGGATCCTCATCATAATGACAGGAAAATAAGCCAGAACAATTTAAGGTAAGAGCTTTACTGTGCAGGTGGTAAGTAAGGTGGTAAGTAAGGAGAGATGTAATATTCCTCTTTCACCTATTTTTGTCCATTTGAATCTGAAAGCTTGCCTTCTGACTGTCTTCATTATTTAACTGCTACATTAGCCATTTTTAAAGATATGCAAAACCAACGTTATACGCTTTTTTTTTTTTTTTTTTTTTTTTTTTTTTTTTAATATGTGAATATCAAGTTTAAGTTAGAGCATTGTACAGAGTCTAACAAGAAAGAATATTTCAGTTGACTAAGCAGTGATAAAGTGGATATCTCCCCAGTTTTTAGTCCACGAGAAGAAAAAAAAAAAAGTTTATTCTTGGTTTAAGAACGTGGTATATTTGGTGAAGCAGTGTCATTGCAGTTGCTGATGCCATTCCTTATCTACATTCTGGCCTTCTATTCTACCTCTGAAGATTCCATAAAACAAAACAACTTTACATTTTCTCACTTAAAGACTATGAATTTATTTTTATTTGAAGATATCCATGATTGTACATGCTTATATACTTACATTTATGAAATTCTGTACTATGTAACAGTGGAAAAGTTTTCACTCAAACAATGTTTACTAAAACCTTGAAAGAAATGAAACAAAACAAACAAAAACTGGAGTCCATGAAATCCATCTCATTTCCTGGGAATAAAATTGCAAAATTCTGTTAAACGGGATCTATAAACCCTAAAAATGATAGTTTTGAATTATAAAGATAATTATTTGTTAATATGTGATGGCATTAAAAAAACACTAATATAAATTGAAGTGGTTTCTGTGAAGGTCTTTAATGTGGTGCAGCTTATAACCTGATAACATGTACAGAAATAAATTTAAAATTTTAAGCTACATTAAATTTTTCATGACTTTTGCTAAAGTTTTAAACACAGCAGTTACTTTTGAAATGAGCTTCAATTCAGTTAGTATGCTACAGAAATTTAAAGATAGTGGTGGAAATAAATTGAATGAATGAATCTTTGAAATGAAGTCACAAATAGGAAAATGTACAAGAACTGTGGTTACTGAGTATGGCTATTTGGAAATAAGAGTAGCCACAGTAAGTTGTTGAAGGTGGAAATAGTGAAAGTTATCCCTTTGCAAAAAAAGTGAAATAACTTTGTATAGGAGCCTGTGTTTATTAATTAAAAATACACACGTTGTTGTTGCTGTGTGGTTGGGCTAAAAAGCAGGCTTGAATACCTGAAGTAATTTGAAGTAGTTGGAAATCACAGAGTATGGAAAATTATTCTTCCAAGTACCTTCTTGGATGCTCATAACAAATGTTAGCATTTTGGAGGATTTTTTGTTGGTGTTTTCTGAAAGAGGTGTTCAGTAGTTACTTCAATAGACCTGATATTTTTTTCTTTTAATTAATCGGAACATCATTTTCCTGTCATATCCATCAGACCCACTGTGCAAGTACTTCATTTCATCCTTCTTTATTGAAGGTGGAAAGATGACTCACTCAGGTTCTGTGACAATCAATTGATTACTTTGTTTCCCCTCTGGGATATCTGTAAATTTGCCGAGATCATTGGTAATACCACGTTCTGAAGGCTATGGCTCTTTGTCAGGGCAGGAGCAAAGATACCATGTTGCATGTTGCATCTAATGTACACTTCCTTGTGGTAGTTCATGCACATTCATTATGACTCTATCCAATGCTGTTTCTATGTGTTCAGATGAATGCAGTTTATTTCTAGATAGGAAGGGTTACATGCTTGAAAACATATTTCTTTATTAAAACAAATTTTCTGTGGCCTTTCTTTTTTTTTTTTTTTTTTTGACTTTTAACTGATCTCCCTTTTCCAGTTGTGTTTATTGTTTAAATACAGGTATTTCCTTGTAGTAAAGGCTCTTATAACTCTATTTGCATATTGGCAAATGAGAAGGAAACAGTGGAGGCAATATACAAAGTTCTGCAAAATTTTCTTCCAGTGTGTGGGTGTGGGTTGTTTTTTATTTTATTTTATTTTATTTTATTTTATTTTATTTTATTTTATTTTATTTTATTTTATTTTATTTTATTTTATTTTATTTTATTTTATTTTATTATTTTTTGTGGTTGTGAAGTTCAAACATCTTGAATAAAATATGGTGAAACAACTTGTCTTCTGGATGTCCTCCAAAGTTAATCAGCACATAGCTACTTAAAATTCTTGTAACGGAATATGAAAGGAATTACGTGGCTAAATAAATCTACCAAATCACATTTCAGTATATGGTTGATGAAAATCTCATAGATTATACTTTTATCTATAATGGAGTGCTAGATCATCTATGAAGAAAAAAGAGGTATGAAGAACTAGCAAGATGTATTCAAGAATATCCAAAGATAATTTTATTAAACTGTAGTATTATTTTCCTATAATAAAAAATTATTCATAAAAGCTGGATAACATTCCTTACCTTTGGGTAGGATAGGACAGTTGTAATTGCCACGTTGTTATATTTGCTATTAAAGATCGTTCTTATGGCATGCAAACTAGGCAAAGACCAGGAACTGAATTGTACTAGAAAGGTGTCAGAAGAAAGAAGGGCCTGGTTTTATGGAGCACAGGACTGTTGTTCAGTATCTGGGTTATATGGTGTTTCACTTAAGCAGTGAGGTCCCCTTGGATAAAAACTGACAAGGATCATTAGACAAACTTTAAGCAGGTAGGATAAAATAGAGAAGAATATTTTCCTTGGCTGTAAAATGACAGTCAGTGGTGTTCTGCCATGAGACATGACAAATAAGAAATGCATAAATGCTTTGGAATAGATCATCACTGCTTATCATGAAAGCCAAGATCTTATTAGTATTTGAGAAAAAGATTAGACATTTATATGGAAAAGGGCATCAACAGTTCTTTTAGATAAAATTAGAAAGAGCTGTAATCCCTTATGCTTCAAAGAATACCACCCTCAAACTGATGAGGAAGTAAGTTTTCTTTAAGATCAGATGACTCCATTAGTTACCACTACTCTAATTCTCCTATATTTCTCTGTGAGGGAAATGTGTATTTCCCTGGCTACTCTCAGACAGAAGATACTGATACTAGAGCTCTCTCTGATTATATGCACATATATTTGCAATTTTAAAGCATATGGGATTCATGTAAGAACTGAAATAAACAGCAAGTAAAAATATATATATATATAAATCAAATCATCATATTTAGAGTATCAATGTGGTTCTGATGTAAACAAACAGTTGAAAGATTAGATACTTTCTAGTAATAAAAATGACTACTTATTTCTAAATTTCTTTGCCATTTCCATCAATTTAGAAAAATTATTTTTTTATTCACTTACTCACTCTTACAGAAAGTGTGACATGATAAATAGTGAATGTTCTCCTGGAACCAAATGATAGAAAGTTATATCTTAAACTCACACTAAACAATTTAAAACAATGATGAAAGGACATAAATATGTATGAATGTTTGTTTAGAATATAACTTGATTCTTAAGAAGTTCAGAAATAGAGATAATGTAATGCAATCTTACTTGTTGTACTGGTATAAGGTTGCGTTATAAATTTCTAATATTATCCAGTATTTATAAGTGCCCTCTGTGTAATGCTATAACATAATTTAAGTGCCTAAGTTGCTCATTTATATTCTCCATCTTTGACCTCAATATGCATAAATATCATGCTAGGAATGTAATTGGCCACAGGAGATAATTTAGAAATATTTTTAGTGTTTACTTTCTGCTTTCAGGCATGTGGAGTGGAATCCACAGGACTGGGGCTAGAAGGAGAAATTGACAATAGAGGGTGTGCTAATTAAATTCACAAACAATACCAAGGAAGGAAAGAGAGCAAGTACATTGAAGGGCAAGAACAGAATTTGAAACTATCTTGACAAATTGAAGCAATGGAGTGAAAAACCTAAGATGAAATTCAACAGGGAAAAGTACAAAGTACTATATGTTAGTAGGATTAAGTACTGCATAAATATATGAGACATCAGCTGGTTAGGTAGCAGCCAGGAGCTACAGTGGATCTCAAGCCAAAGAAGTATCATGGGATTGTTATAAAGGCAACAATCACATGGGAAAGCATAAAGCAGAAGTATATACTCTTCAGAAGTAGATTAGATTAGATTTTAGAAAAGTATGAGTTGCTTTGGTGTTGTCCAAAAGACAGCGACTAGAAAGAATGGAAATAAATGCAGAAAATGTGTTTTACCCAGAAGACTGAATAAGCTAACCAAAAGTGAGTATTTGAGGATCAAGGGGGTGACAATAGTTTTAAAATCTGCAAGAATATTTTCTCTATACTCATTTATTACAGGTTAGGCATCTGGAAAATCTTGGAAACAGTAAGAACAGGCTATGCAAACACTTGTCAGAATTCACTAGTTTGCAGATGAGCGTTCCTTAAGACAATGGGATAAGCAGGATGATCTTTTGAGACTCCTTCCAGGACTCCAGGATATTTACTGACAATTTGTAACTTCTATGAAGAACTAATCTGCAATACTTTCTGGCCTTCTTTACAAGGAAAGCCATCAGTATTCTGTGGAATAAAATATCATACATGAAAAGAAAGGGGAAAGGAAATGTGGCAGCAGCTTAGGAATGTTCACAAAGCTAACAAAATACTGTTCCCAAAATTTAAGGTAGAGTTGGGATTTCTAGATATTTATTGGTTTGATCAAGGCTACAGTTTATGCATAAATTATTTGAAAATATCACAAATGTTGGAGTAAATTGGTTAAAAATATTACTTGGCTGAAATGATCCAAAAAATCATAAGTACCCTACCCCTGTTTTTTTCTAGTCTGTCATGATTTCTGTAGCCATATTTTTTTATGCAGCACTTTTATTATGCAGCACTATTTTTTTGTTGGTGTCAGGTATACTGTTTAACAATTTGAACACAACAGGAGAAGAAATAATAATAATAATAATCCTCTGTTAAAGACAGTGACCCAGTGAGTACTGAGAAAAAGAACACCAGGGACTAGCTCTCAAGTTGGAAAACCTATTC